TTTTTTTTTGTGGAATATCATTAATCATAGTGAATATAAAGTGTAGACTTTATCCAACGAAGTGGAGAGAAAAATGGATAAATTCATAGTGGATAGTGTTATTCAGATTTATTTTTTATCTCTCATACACTCTTATTAATTTTTTGTCGTTGATCTTTTTCAATTCATTTGATCATACGATTGAAAATTGAAAGGGGTGTGTAAGAAGTAAAAATGAGTGTGTGGATATCACTACCTATTCATAATCCTAGGATTTGTTTGAAAGTGCTTTTAAAATTACTAAAAGCACTTTTGGTAAAAATATTTTTGAAACCAATCTTTAATAAAAATTCAAGTGGATCTTAAAGTAGCACTACAAGTGTTTCTTGCAAATGAATTCTATAGAAATGTGGTTAGAATAGTGAAACCTCATTTCATACTTCTTTTATTTTTATCCTTTACTTCTCTTTAATTTATTAAAACTTTAAGGTTGGGATTATTTTTTTGGAAGTGCATGAAGAGGAATGGTTGTGATTTTTATGTTCTCGTCTCTTCATTTCAATTTCTTTTTTAGTCTATCAATAATGTTAGAAGATTATTTAGTTACGACACTTCATTAGAAGATTCTTTAATTACGACACTTCATAGTTTTTTAATGTGAGAAATGCTAAGGAGACTATCTCAAAGTATGACTCTTCATGGAATCTCTACAACCTCATGTTTTTTACATAATATTTCATAACGTTAACACCTGTATTATGCCAAAGACATAAAATGACAAATAATCTATTAAAAGTCATACTTTTAAAAGAGTCTCTTTAGTATTTCTCTTCCTAATGTTTGAAAACATTTTGCGATTTCCACACCTAAACAGTTGAATGATAACGATTTCCAATCATTTCATTGTGAACAAGTTGAAATACCATATTAAACTTGTCAACATTTTAAAAGAGATGGTTGGGTTGGTAGCCATCAATTCAAGATATATTAGGAAAAAGGAAATAAAAATCTTAGAGAGATTCTTCCTAAAGGGACCTCCAATTATTTGGAATAAACTAATAAATGTAAATGCCGATGCTTTACAATGTTTTTTTTTTTTGAAAGGACGGATTGATGCCTTTGCCACGATAATCTAGCTTTTTGGAGTCCAAGGACTCAGAGAGGCATTTGAGCCTCATTCTGACCACTATCGTGTGATTTACAACTGTCAGGAACCTAATACAGGATGTGCAATAAGAAATACATGTCTGAAATTTGTCCAAAACTACCATCCCGTGGTAATTGCATATGCTTTGCAATGATAAGTAGCTATAATTTTGTGCATTGCATTAAGCTTTGTTGATTTAAAATCTCTTCTAAGATAAATTCTCTTCTAACAAAGGCATCGAGTGACAAACACATATTGAATTGATGGTGTACTTTTTTAACACATGACAAGTATCTATTGGACATGCGATATCATTAAAACTACACATTGATTGTAAGAAAGTTTTACTATCTCTCCAACCAAGTGATGATTGAACATTACTAGACCAACTGATCAGAAGTCTCCTTCAAGTTTATAACATACTCTTGATCTCACCCGTCTTAGAAAATAGTATAAAACTAGGTCAAGGCTTACATTCCCCATCATAATGTGTCGGTTTTATTAATAAGCTATCTCTTCATTATTGAAGAATAACTTATATCGAACAAATTTCTCGCCAATATAGCGTATCAATCCAATAATGTAATGTATATTTTGCTCAACATAACATTACAGAAGCAGAATATCAGACGATAAACGCGTTTCATATAAGTTGCTCTCAAAATAATTTTGTACACAACAAATCTTCAACTAAATCTAACGGCTCCAAAAGTCCACGACTGTCGTGGCACTTTCTCATGCGCGCGATCCCAAAGCGGTGGAAAACCAGAACGACACTGCGCGCAACTGTAAATGGTCAGAACGGTCACACACTCCCAGAGAGAAAGCGGGTGGGGAACGAAATCTAACGAACCGCCACGCGTCGAGAATTTATAAGATACTTTGGGATGCTCAACGCATCTCACGCGCCTCCGACAAAGCAGCGCCAAACCGATACGAGCGGCGAAGAAATCCGGAGGGAGATACCGAAAGCGAAATTACACAAAAAATATTTGGAATTTAATTAAATTTTCGAAAAGAATAATTCGTTGAAAAGATTTGAAATTTAATGAATTTTCTAATTGGGTGCTACCTTTTGCTGGTTGAAGTGGAATTGTACGCTTGAATTCAGCTGGGGCCTATAAAAAGGAGGGATACGCTGGCAGTTACTGATATCTCGGAAGCAAAGGAGGAGGTGGAGCCAGCGGAGCAGGACGGGGAAGAGCAGATAACCATCACCGAGTGGCTCCTGGCGGGGCAAGGACATCATCGAGAGTCGACTATGGATTCTACCAGTGAAGCTCATTCCGGTTCTAGAAAGGTTCATGATGAAGAAAGCACCGAAATCCCAGAAACCGCTCATCAGATTAGCACAGGTTCTGAAATTTTCATTTTTCTTAATATTAATTGTTCATATTTTTTTTTTATGTTTTTGTTATCTGGGTTTGTTTTTTTCTGCATGTTTGATTGTTCTGGTATCACAATTCGACCATTGGATGAAGGAAATTATTTTTTCAATCATTTTCCGAAATCCCGGAAGGAAAATTTTATTTATTCATCTGGGTTTGGTTTTTTCTGGTTTTTTTCTTAAAGTTTGAATTTTTCATGTGGTTGAGGAAATGAATCGTTTTTTTCTTCTAATTTTGTTCATAGGTTTCCTAAAAAGTTTCAGTTTTTAGATTCCGGATTGCAGTTCATGAATTTATAGTTTTTCGAATTGTGGTTCTTGGTAATTTAGTGCATTTGTAATGAAGTAATTCTGAATGGTTTCAAATAGCTTTGTGAATTGTGATATTGGTACTGAAATTGCTCTCGTTGTGAGTTCATGTTACCTCTTTGGTTTCCACAGATTCATGGTTTCAAGTGGGATTCGTCCTCACCACCGGTATCAACAGTGCGTATGTTCTGGGATACTCTGGTAATGTCATGATTCCTCTTGGTTGGATCGGCGGTGTGATCGGTTTAATTCTAGCCACTGCAATATCACTCTATGCAAATGCTCTCATTGCCAAGCTTCATGAGTATGGAGGGGTTAGGCACATCAGATACAGAGACCTTGCTGGATTTATATATGGTATGAGCGAAAAGGATAGCAAAAGCGAAAAATTGATCTGATTCGTTTGTTGAATTTACCTTTTCGATTTCTTCTTTCCTGGCTGTATTGTTCCCTGATGGGGCTATTTCATTGCAGGCAAGAAAGCTTACTCTCTGACATGGGGATTGCAATATGTCAATCTCTTCATGATTAACACTGGTTTTATCATCTTGGCTGGTCAGGCACTCAAGGTGAGAGCACATTGCATATTAACTCCGATCCGATGGTACTATGTGCATGTATGAACAGGTTAATGTCTTATTTTTCTAAAACTTGTCGTTCATTTCGAGTGCAGGCTGCGTATGTTCTGTTTAGGGATGACCATACCATGAAGCTACCACATTTTATTGCCATTTCAGGCTTTGTGTGCGCTGTATTTGCCATAAGTATACCGCACTTGTCAGCTCTGAGGATTTGGCTGGGGTTTTCAACAGTCTTCAGCTTGATGTATATTGTTATAGCAATCGTACTGTCACTTAAAGATGGTAAGGATCAGCTCACGTTCTTTCTTCCGTACTACTTGAACAAGTGTAGAAATTTTCTGGATGTTTCACGCTTTGAGGTCGATTTGGATGATGCACATGCCATTTTCTTGCTTTAAATGAAGAACTTTGTACTGTTGGATTTTCATTAACAATAGCTATGTTGTTTTAGGACTTAAAGCACCGTCCAGGGATTATGACATCCCAGGGACTTCAACAAGCAGAATATTTACTACAATCGGAGCGGCTGCTAGCCTTGTTTTTGCATTCAACACGGGAATGCTACCAGAGATACAGGTACCAAAAGCTTCAATCTTTCGAGTTTTTGCAAGAACGCTGACATGAGTAATGAGAAATCTTGCGAAAACCACAGTCGCCTGTCCATGGAAGGCTTTCCACACTGAATTTTGTTTTGGCTGTGATTATGTGACAGGCTACAGTGAGGAAGCCAGTGGTTGACAACATGATGAAAGCTCTGTACTTTCAGTTCACAGCCGGTGTTGTGCCGTTGTATGCCGTCTGTTTTATAGGGTATTGGGCATATGGAAATAACACATCATCTTATCTGCTCAACAACGTCAACGGACCGGTCTGGGTGAGGGCGATGGCCAATTTTGCTGCCTTCCTGCAAACAGTCATTGCCCTGCATGTAAACCTTCTTCCTTCTGACCCCCTCTCTTTCACTTTCCGTAAATGCACTAACCCAACAAGCTTTTTTTCACCGCTGCCTGCAGATATTTGCAAGTCCAATGTACGAATATCTGGATACAAAGTTCGGCATCAAAGGAAGTCCACTGAAAATTCAGAACTTGATATTCAGAATCACCGTTCGAGGCGGCTACTTGGCGATTAACACTCTGGTTTCGGCTCTGCTGCCGTTCCTCGGAGATTTCATGAGCCTCACAGGAGCCATAAGCACATTCCCCCTCACATTTATTCTTGCAAACCACATGTATTTGGTGGCAAAGAAGGAGAAGCTGACTTCTGCACAGAAGTGCTGGCATTGGCTGAATGTTGGCTTCTTCGGCCTTTTGGCTGTTGCAGCTTTGATTTCGGCCTTGAGGCTCATAGCCGTAGATTCCAAAACGTACCATGTATTTGCTGATCTATGAGTAATCTTCTTCCTCCCCCTCCCCTTTTTCTTTCTTTGCCATTTGATCCCACAATTGTATTTAATTTGCGCATTTAATTATGTCATTTGTTCTTCAAGGATTAAACATTTTATAGCATAGTTAACGAATAAAAATCAATTAGCGGATACATTTGACTAAATTTGAAACGAAACGAAACTACAAGGACGAAAATGTAACAAAAACAATTACGGGGACCGAATTTGGCGTTAAAATGTTGGAAAAGTTAATACCTTCGAGGAAATTACACCGTAAAAATGAATTTTACCTTGAGATGGCCTGACCACCCAATTAATATCTAAAGCCAAACAGCTTCTGAACAATGAGGAACAAGAACTACTTCAAAAATACAGCATTCAAACAATATCCATCAACCTAATGCTTCAGCCTTCCGAGAAACGAGAGATCCATTTTGGCCGATTCCTAATATCAATTCGACGAATCTTCTGAACAAATAACCTGCATCCGTTCAGAAGGAAAAACACAATTAAGTTTCGATATGGAAGAGCTAAGAGTTCCAACAATCCCAAATACTAAGCTAAGAGTTCCAACAATTCCAATGCAAAATACAGAGGCCAAAAAATAACTTGGCAACAATTTGTTGCTACTTGTAAAAATGCATACTTTTCTAGTAAACCAAATCTTCTCTTGCTCTGTTGTATTTATTAATGTCGAGTGAAGCCACATTATGGCATATTCATATGTTAACAAAACACTATTGAATCGTCAAATGCATACGACTCCAGCAAACCAGGTGCTATTGGCTCGGGGCTGTGGGGATAAGAATGCTAGAATATAAACATAACCAGAGTTGTTAACAAACCTCACCTGAGCAGAAGTTCAAGACTAAGTTTGTTTGGATAATAATATTATACACTGTACTCAGACATAGATATATATCTTACCTCATTTGGAATCATCCAGATATCAATTTTAGAACGATGCAGACAGTATTGAGTAGCACAAGAGGAACTCTCAAGTATTGTGTTGCGTAGATGAGACCTATAATCTGTCCCTTGACTGATTTTGTCCTGCCCCCTGAGAATTCTGAGAGGCTCCATCCCCTAGGCGCAAGGAAGCGGTCCTCATTTAAAATCGCCACTGCATTTGCAAGAAGCAGAAAGCCTTCAAGTAGTGTACCCAGACCCATTTACCTGAAAAATGAAGCATTTGTCTCATACAACGACGTATGACTTTGATTTTTAGGCATTAATCTCCATTCCTCATCCCCTCTTCAATCTAATACGTAAATGAGAAAAAGGAGACCAGCTAAATAACTCATTATGTGCGTTAACTCAAAAGATATGACAGCGGAAAAGAAAGCACAGAATGCTTCTGAGAAAAAAAAATTAGTTTCATATTTATAACGAAGTTTACATAATCTCAAATCTTATTTCGATTTGTGGCAACTTCAGCACAAACGGTATGACTGTATCCAGAGATGAGTGCTTAAATGCCACTCAGTAGTTGTCTAATCCGTTCTGATGGCTAAAGAAGAGTCTGCATCTATTTGTAGGAGAAAATCCCTCATATCTTACAAAATCGAAGTAGATCTAGACCATGTCGCCGAATCATGCACCAGCAAAGCACTCATTGTGTGCTTTCTCACTTCCGTAAACATAATTTTGGGAAATATATAGAACTTTTACGATGAATGGAACCCTGTATCTAAAATAGTAGATTGACACGAACTCTGCCCTCGGTATTTTAGGAAGATGTCGTCACGATTAACGCAACAACGCAAGGCTGATCATTATCGAACCTTAGATCAATCAGTTATACTATTCTAATTTGTTTAAAAGAGCAAAACTATTTTAAGCTCCAAATCAAATGACCCACAAACAAAACAACCCCTTTTACATAAATTCTAACACTCGCAGAAAAATGAAGACTCCACAGAAACAACAGTAACTAAGAGAGATTACTACTCAAATTACCTCACTTTTAAACAACCCTAAATACCAAACCCAAAAAACGGATGCAAAACCTAGCAACCCAGGAAAAATCGAATCCCCTCAAGCAGTGGGGTAAAACCTCAAAAACCCAATAAAGCCCATGTCAGATTGAAGCTTTAAAATCATAACTTTGAACCCACCAAGCTTCAATGGCACAGGTAATTACAAGAATAACCCAGCTATGGCAAACACGAAAAGTAGGAAGATTTAGCTCGCAAATTATGAATGTGATTCAGAAATTGATACAAATCCAAGTAATAATTTCAGAGATTAAGGAAGAAAATTGAAAACCCTTGTTACTAACCTGAATGCGAGGACCTGATCTCAGGAGAGGAAGAGACTTGGAGGTGGAAAATGCTAAAGCCGAAGGCTTCCAACAACGAAGACTCCAGGAACAAAGTAGAACGTGCCCTTTTGCTTTCTTGCTGGATCATCTCATTTGGGCCTGGTCATGGTGGGCCTTGTAATAATTGTCATAGTTAAAATTTTAAGATAACGATAGATTTGAGTTAAGCCAGTTTGAATCTCCCATAATCTACATTATGTTGGCAATTTAAAATCTCGTTTCTTATATTGCAATTCTCACACTTATTTTTGTGATAATCAAACGATAGAAAAAAGAGTAAAACTACAAAAGAAAAATACAAGAGTGTGGAAATCGTTGTCTCGGGGTCTATAATCAGAACCGCGAAAGGGTTGTAACATGCAATGTTTATACAAAAGAAGGACATGCTAAATCTAATTTTCAATTGTCTTCATATATGATACACTTTGTATGTACATTATATAAAGGAAAATGTCATTTGGATGAACATCTCCCTGCTGGTGATGAAGCTGGCTCATTGGTCCTTTCACAAATGCAACCTGGATATGGATTCGCATAAAAGTTCTCCTCCAGTCTAGGCAAAATTCTGGGCACTCTTGGATATGGTGCTCCCATCCGATTTTTGTGTAACCTCTTAACTCGGGACGAGAATGTTTTCCAAGTTATCATACCCTTGTCTAACTTATCGATCAATCTAACAAATCTTTGTCTGCAAGGCAAGTAACATCGAGTGTGTCAGATACGAAACTCCCAATGAAACATGTTACTTACCCCTCTATCTCTCGCCACATCACCATATTACGGAGAGAGATGTTGAGAGGGGGTTATGCAACACGCGACAGGTAAGTTTTTCTCGTTAGATAGAGTGCGAGTAAAGATTGAGCTGAAATTAGTTAGGAAAGAATCGTGCTTACTTGTCGGGGCTGATTGTTTTCCTAAAACCTTCAAATCTTCTGTGGCCTTTGACTGCTTTGGCCATGTTTCCATCATAGGAGTAGATGAAAACATCACTCTCAACTGCTATAATATAATCTAATGCGGCAAGCTGGTTGAGCTTATCCTTGTAAGGTTGCAACTCCTCTTCGGATGCTAAATTTGAGTGGAAAAATAGATTTGGATACTTGGCTTGCAGTGACGTTAGCCCGTCTTGCCCGTAGACTTCACCTGCAGCTATGTAAATTTTTGTATCCGAAGGAAACCCTATTGCCTCAAGGAAAACAGCAATCTCTCTTGGGGTCATGGGACATTGCCCTTGGTGTCTCTGCACTGTACCATTGATTTTTTTGTGCTTCCAATGTGGCGTCTTCTCCCTTATCATTTCGAGTTCTAAATCTTCTTCTCTAGTGAGATTGTGACTGCAGCCTGTGAAAGAAAGCATGTCCTTTTCATACCTGCGTTTGTAACATTCCGATCACTTGTTAGAAACTTTACTTGGACAGCAAGAATATGTTAAATATCCCATTTTTTTAATTAATTAGACAAACCTTAGATGGAGAGCAATGTATTTCCCACCATTGTTCTTTAATCTGTAAATCAAATTCATTGCAAGCTCTTCGATTTCAACTGCGAAGCGCAGTGCCTTATAAAAGGCGCGGCAACGGAGTCTCTGGATCGAGCTATCAACATTATTAGCAAGTCTGGAATCTGTGAAGGTAAATTTGACAACCTTGTGCTTCTTCAATAATGTCGCCATCTGTTGTTTATAGTAACTGGCCTGGTCACAAATTGTTAGACATTGTTAGACATTGTTAGATTCAAACAATCAAACCTCACTGGTTTTGTCGAAAATGGTACTGACAACGTTGATCATACCCCTGACCAAGATACTGGAGCCTTATGGCGGGGTTTCATGTTTGCAAACTCCGACGGGAGAGACTCTACGATCATGATATCATCTCTCAAAACTTCCATGAAGTTCTTCCAATTGAAAATGTCTTTAAAGTCACTGAGAAGGAAAAAAAACTCAATTACAATAGCCTAATCTAATTATAAACATACAGTAATCAGTTAGTAAGTTAATTCGAATATATATATATATATATTGAAATCTCTAACATAACCTTGGGTCGGTCCAAAAGGATATGTGATCTAAAGAAGGTAGAACAAGAGTGGCATTCATAAGTTTTGCTATGGCAACCATATCACTTATCTGCAATTCCAGTTTGTTCATAAGAAGCAATAAGAAAAAGAAATATATACCGAATTGGAAAATCCGAAAACAGAAAAGCTTAGCGCGATTATTAGTGTATACCCCGAGCTTCATTTGATTCAATCCGCCATTGGAACGAACAAGGATGTAGCCATTTGTGGCTGTTTCATTCACTGCAAGAAATGGAACTTGCAATTTATGTAAAATGTTTCACTGATGGATCACAAAAGCTTACTTGTTGGGGAAGAAAGCTTTCGGGACGTACAAAATTCCTTCTTCGCTCGATTTATGCATTGGTAGTAGTTATAACTCTCTGATGGCGTCCAAATATCAAGGGTCTGACTAGCAGAAATCAAATAAAAGATGGGATCACAATTTCTGCAATTTTTTAAAATTAAATGCAGTAAAAGATAACAATCTGACCTTGAACTTATGAGCATTTTAGCCACATTTACCCTGTCACCTAATCTGACCATGTTCTGTTTCAATGTCGTCGTCCCTTCGATCAGTGAAGGTCGAATCAAACTTATTTTCTCCATCACCTTCAACTCTGGAAACGTGTTCAGCAAGGCAAACTTGGCCAACATTGACAGAAAGGCCAAACCCATCAAAACCATTGAAGTCCATTTGCACAACCGCCAGCTCGAGAAATCGGACAACTTTCGCACCCTGCGGCGGAAAAACACGGCATGAGCATTGGCGTCATCGAACTTGGTGGAGGAACCCGGTTGCCCCTCCGTTGCCTCGAAATGCCGCCGCCTCGACCTAGCGCATGAGTTGTGATCACTAGTGGATTTCGACATAGGGGAGGAGGGAAACAGAGGAAATGCAGAGGAAATGCAGAGCACTGTAAAGAAAGAGAAAGAAAGGGGAAGGGGATTGGGTTGAGGGGGGATAGTGGGAGGGAGTTGCTGCCATGTTTGATTAATTTCTTTTTTGTTTTTATATTTTTTATGGCGTTGGAATATAAGTGGGAGCGAAATATAAGGCGGAGGAGGCTCTGTGTTTGTGATGGTTTTTTTTTTTTTTTTTTTTTTGTCTATATTTATGTAATTCACTAGTTTGTTTAGCAATATGATTATGATAAACTTATTTTAGAGGTGGAGATTTGAGCGTAGTCAATCAATTATAATTACCCTTCAAACTTGTCATATATAAGGTCTAAATACAAAATCTTTAACTTACAAATGAAAATGAATACTACTGGATCGTCGTATTAGTAAAATTTAAGAAACATCTTTTTCAAACAAAAGAAAAATGAACAAGAATCACGGGGTGACTGAGTGGTTGGAACAAATTTCAGGCCCGTATTCCACACGGTTAGTCTTAGTTTCGATTTTTAGAGGTAATGAATCACACGATGATGGCCAAAGGAAACTAAAATGCCCATGTGAATCTTTCAAGCATCTAAAAAGATGGACTGTCGTGATTTCGTCACCAGCTATTTTTAGTTTTGAAAAAAAAAAAAGGGAAGAAAAATGGAACATAAATTATGGCAAATCTCATGCAACAAGAGAAATGGCTTTCAGTTTGGGTTGGGCTTGGGATCCAAAATCATTGAATCGGACTCCTACACAAACTTGGGCCTTATGATAATTCAAGAAGAGGCCCACCTGTAAACTCAAACCCTTTTATATAAGTAGTCATCTTCTCCCGCAACCAAACTAGGGTTTTAGTGCTTCTTCTTCGCAGGCGTCTGTGGTTGCTCGCTGTGCTCACATAAACCCCCAATCGCGAAAATGGTGAAGGAACGCCAAGGAGAGCGAATTAGGTAAACTGATCCATTTCTTCCCCCCAAAAACCCTAATTTCGAAAATGTTAATCCGATTACATGTTTTCAGATTTCTAATTGTTTTCTCACTTTATTTTTGTCGTATCAGACTGTACGTCAGGGGCACCGTCCTCGGATACAAGAGGTAATTGATTTCCATCGAGCTTTTTGTGACTTTTTTGTGCAATTAATTTTCTACTGATTAACTGTAAAATGAAAAGATATAAATATATATGTGTGTGTGTATGTAGGGGTGTGATATCCACATACCATTTTTTACTTCTCTCACACCCTTTTAATTTTCGTCCGGATCGGATGAATTGAAGAAATCAAATGACAGAAATTAACAAAGGGGTGTGGGAGAAGTAAAAATGAGTGTATGGATAGCACATCCCTATATATATATTTGTGTTTTGAGCTAAATGGAGGCTCGGGTTTTGGGTTGACTATTTTTTTTTTGGGGTTAGGTCTAAGTCGAACCAGTACCCGAACACCTCTCTGATTCAGATCGAGGGAGTGAACACCAAAGAGGAGGTTGCGTGGTATGCCGGGAAGCGGTTGGCCTACATCTACAAGGCCAAGGTGAAGACCAATGGCAGCCACTACCGCTGCATTTGGGGCAAGGTTTCCCGGCCTCATGGTAACAGCGGCGTAGTTCGTGCTAAGTTCACTTCCAATTTGCCCCCCAAGTCCATGGTATTGTGTTGTATTAGAATTATTGTTTACTTTTTTTCTTTTTGTTGCAATCGATATTTTATTGAGCTATTTTGTGGTTCCTTGCAGGGTGATCGCGTGAGGGTGTTCATGTACCCCAGCAATATCTAAGTTTTTAAGGTACAATTTTTTAGCTTGCTGCTTAATTGTCTGCCTACATTGTTATTTATAGGGAGTATGTGTTTCTTGCGCATGGCATGTATGTTTATCTTCAAAAGTTTTAGTTTATTGTTGTGATCTTCTGTTGTGGATTTTTCTTCTACAATGTGGTTCAATACGCAACTTCAGCTTGTGTCCTTTACCTTCGTTAGACAATCAGGTGTGTGTTTTCGGGGCAATGAGCTTGTGTGGTGTACTGTAGGGAGTGAGTTGTTATCTAGAGGATCGTTTCAAATATTCCAATATGATTTACAGTTTTAATTGTTATTTATGAACTTGTGTCCACGGTACCTTAATTTTTACATGGCCTCGAGAGTACTCCCTTCGTATGTTATTTCAGTTGACTCCGAACTTTTGGATTGTTTGCATTCCAAATGTTGACTGATATTTGATACATCGTATAACTATTCTTATCTTTTGGGTTTCTTCCATTGGGCTGTTTCACGACATTTTTTTTATGCTCATGTATTTCTTGTCTCTATGGGATACAAATTCAGTATATGAGCTTATATAGGGATTGCAAATTTATCTCTCCACGATGAAAGTTTTGCTTAGTGTTTGTAATCAGAATTATGCGGGGTGTTTAATCATAATGCTCCATGTTTGTAATTTTAGAGGATGTCAAGAAATTTGATTGGCAGCAATATATATACATATATATCGCTTTTTTGTTTCTCGCTCCATGTTTTAACGTCTTGTAGTCATGATGCATGTTACATCCATCTTCATATAACTATTTGTGCAACTATGTGCTCAGGTCAGCCCGCAGTTCGTATTACTTCTTTAGCATATTCTTCTTACCCTGGTTCTAAGCTCATGCTCATTTCTTCCTTGCAGTTGCTCAGGACTTCTAGATGATAGAGAACGGACACTTGAAGGGGTCTACTTTCACATGGGTTTTACGAGCGACGTTAGATGTATTTGGTTGAAGCCGAGTCAGTTTTGTTGTTCAGATGGTAGAACATTGTCTTGATACTCCTTTACTAATTTTAATGCATATTATACCATTTCAATTATGTTTTGAAGATTCATTATTTGAGCGTCTGAAGTTTTGAATGAAGCAAGTCTTGTTGGCTATTTTTCTCAAATTAGATCTGTTTAAAAATATGAATCGATAATTTGGAATATTCAAGTTAAGAGGGAACAAATGATATACTTAATCTAGACTGATTGCGATGTAGTCTTCGTTCGTGGTCTCTCTTGTTGAAATTTCGATGTTTCTTTTTTGAGTTGTTTTGTTTGTTTCATTCGGATTGAGACTCCGGATCTTTGTGTTTGGAGCTCGCTGTTCGAGAGATCCAGACCACTCAATTTCAATCTTCTATCCCTCTGGTCCACTTCAAAAAGATTCAAAATCTGAACGGTCCTGATCTCTCTCTTCAATGTTGGGGGTCTCTTGGTATGCTGGCTCGGGAAACAAAAATCCGGAGTGGAACTCATTCCGTTTCAATCCCGGTGGGAGTTGTCAGACATCGGCATTCTTCTCTCATCTTGCCTCACTGGTCACTTTCATATTGTCTGGAAAGAATTTGTTGTGACTTGTGATGACAATCGATATTTATTCAACTATTTGTGCGTATTTCTCTTAATCGGTTTTATTTGTGTGTATTTCTCTTAATCGGTTTTATTTGTGTGTATTTCTCAAAAGGAATGAAAAAACTTTCGAAATAAAGGCCGCCTCCGAAGCCCGAGAAATGCTGAAAGGAAAGGCACAAAGGGTGTTGCGATTTAACTTGCTATTGAGGTCGTATTTGCCTTGGTTTTGTAGTTAAAAACCAATTGTCGTGAACATGGTTCGTGGATGCGAAACGTCAAAAGTGTAGATTTGCTTTGGTTTCGTTTGTAATTAAGTGGCATGTGATGTAAAAGTTGTTTTAAACCATACGATACGCACATGCATGAACTATGCTTCTCACATTCACAACCCACATGATCCTAATTGTAAGATTTAAGCTTTCACATTCACTTTTTAGCTCATGATCCATGTCCTAAGTAACCCATCAAACTACTCTCTCTCATACCTAATCACAATTTTTTTTTAGTACAACGATATATTTTATACTAAGGAGAGGGCGAGTTTGGTTAAGTCACACAATGAACAACCTAATTTGGTATCAAATTTGTCATCCACGAGATTCAAACCTAAAACATCTCACTTACAAGTGAAGAGGAATACCACCAGACAGTAGTACTGAGTGACACCTAATCACGATTTTGACATGCTAATAAATTAAGTTACTCATAGACACTCAGTAACGACACATATTTGAATAGACTTTATTACCTATAAGCACTTAGTACAGACACATAATTGTTGAATTTTATCCAATAATTTAAACTAAGTGCCTGAAACCTGTTGAATTAAACTCAACAATTAATGAATCAAATATGTGTTGACGTTGATTTTATAAGTTATCAAGAAAAATTGAATTCGTTGGCCATAACTTATGGTGGAAGTCAGTAGACAAACAATGTGGATTAATAACTGAGTTTGACTAAACCAGGTCCATATAAATTAGGTAAACTAATCCCATTTTTCTTGGAGTAAAGAATATGCACTAGGTTGAGGCCGCCAAATGGCAAAGGCCTTCCGCACAAGACATTTCTAAGTTCGGTACCAGCAAAATCATGCTCAATTTCCAGTGAAGTGGCCCCATAATCCGAGAGATTTTTCAGTTTGCCCGGCATATGAGGTGGTACACAACGTGTCACTAAACAAATGATGTGATTTGTATGTTAAAAAATTAATAACTTAAAAAATAAAATTTTTCACAATTTACATAAAAACACGTGATGTACCATCCGTATTCCCGTCACAATAAAAAAATTTCTCCACAATCCCAAAGTAACTAACCTCATAATAAATTTAACTTTTACCCTTGTTTAATCTTTTTTCCATTGATTTGTCAGACATGGCCACCACCGTCAAAACTTATTCAACAAATAGTGTGACAATATTTATTGATTCAAATATACACCTCTAACCTCTTGCATTTTATTATGTATAAGCGATATCGATGGAGTGAGAGATTCGGCACAGATATTTAAGATGCAACGATAAACGTTTTTAATTTTATTTATCTTTATATTTTAAGACAATTGGAAGTGTCTAAGCTAATAATCGAACATCCGGTGGATGAGCCCCTAATTCCAAAATCCTAAAGTTGTAGGTGCGAACGAATGAAGTTGCAGGGACCAGGGAGGGATTAGGGATATGGGTGTGCTATCTACATATTATTTTTTAATTCTTACACACTCGTTAATTTATGTTCTTATATCTTCTTTAATTTATTCGATCTGACGACAATAAATTAAAAATACATGTGAAAAGTTAAAAAAATAT